CTTAACTGTGCTCTGTCAACTGCATACGTGATATTCTTACTCTTTGCACAACTCAAATGTTTTCAGCATGAGATAATTCACAAAAATTAAGAGCCAAGAAAAGTAGTACAAAGAACAGTGAGACAGTGCAAATTTTAAAGACACACCTAGACATAACCTTACTATACTTCAATCGTTTCAAACAGCAACGAAATACCAACACAGCAACTATAAACACAGCAGTACCCAGGATTCATAATCGAAAACTGGCGTTAATTATGATATAGGAACAAGTGTTTATGCCTTCATCGCAAACTTTTCTTTTCTTTCAAATTTTTGAAAACAAATTAATCAACGCCATGCATGTCTTGGCTGCTCAAGATATGCCCCGCCATTTATAGAAGGTTCATCAGTGAGTTGACAGGAGCCGCCATAGTTCCTGTCCCGCCGGAGCCAAGGAAAACTCTGATAAGAATCACTTTTATAATGTCTGTAAAGCCATTTCCGAGCGGGGTAGCTTTAAACTCATAAACCCTTGTATAAAATTAAACTTGCTAACAAGTAAGACAAAGCCGATGCCGGGATATGAACAGCACACCACGTGGATTAAGACACTTGTTAGTCATATGCTGCCAAGTTCAATTTGTGTAAATCAATTAACTTACCCTGCATCGTCCGTCACTAGATGTTCCAACATCTGAATTTTTAACATAGCTGGATAGTAATCCTTAGTGCACTTATAACAACACTTGAACAGAAATCCGTCAACATCACCACAACACAGAATAACACACTAGCAACTAACTCACTGCGTCCTACTTCCTACTGTCCGTCTCCCTCTGCTACTCACTCACTCGCTTGTTTTACAGCGTGACTGCAGCGCTCTAGTATGTAAGCGGTGCCACGAGAAAACGCATATAAAACATAAATGAACTCTCGTATCTTGCTCGCAACTCCCTACTTTCCTCCCCCACCATAAACAGCCGTGAACCAGGGAACAAAAAGCAGATGGAGGGCTGACATTAATAAATCATAACACAATCCCCATTAAATCGTGTTCTATCTTCGCCATTCATGATATGAGGGCAGTATACGAAATTGCAACTTTTATGAATTATGGGGCCACGCACAACACAGTACCTGTGTGGATAAGATAATGAAATGGAACAGTTATGTCAATAAAGTGACCAGGGGGCTTGAAGACAGGGGCTTCGTATGCCGGCAGATGCAGGGACATTTCTCTTCGCCAGAACGTCCACAGACCCGTCATTCGGTCAGAAGATTTTCGAGGCAGATCTGCTTTTTTTTTACGAGTATTTCAAATGGTTTCTACATACTGCTATTCTGTCAAATTAATTTGTTCTTTGGTGCGATCCACAGAATATAAAAGTAATTTCTGGCCATCGGTTATGACTATTTAGCATGCATTCCTTGCATAAAATGTAAATGAAGGCATAATAGGTAGGTCTACCTGTCCGCATATTTCATTTATGAAACTAGCAGATGATTTCGACGAGATTTGTTACTGAGTCGAAGTTTCAATGTTTGTGGCGATGGCACCTTACAAGACGTCAATTTTTCTTCTGGACTTTGTCCAGTATTTAAATTATAAAACTATGTATCGACAGCTTGATTCTGGGGTACACTTCTACTTTCTTGAAAGAAGAATGAAACAAACAAACAAAGAAGGTAATTAAGAAAAATTAAAAAGGAAAAAAACCCATCAATTTTTCATTCATCACAAACTAGCATCTGCAGTTTATTTTCTTCGATGAAAACGCGGAGATGAGGCACAAAATAAACACGTACGTTAAGACTCGAAGTTGAATGCTTTGACTCAACTGCAGTTACTTGCCAATTGCATTTACTAAACATTCCGCTGAAATAATGTAGACCTAATGCCTATAGTCATTACGTCCTAATTACTTTTACGTGTAAATGATAGCAGATTTGCTTTATCATTCAGCATTATTCTGTCAAAATTTTCTGTATGTGTGAAGCCAAGTATTTCTTAACCTCGGTACTAGCTGGAGGTGAGTGGCCAGCTCTTTCTTAACATCGGTACTAGCTGGAGGTGAGTGGCCAGCTTTTGCTGTGGCCTTGTGGCCGCACAATCCCGGTGCGAGATGGACAGGAGGCTGGGTGAGACCCAGAGTCAGCTTGAATTGTGGTAAAACAAATTACTGCTCCTGTCGAGGATTGAACCCCAGTCGTCTGTCACGCAGCCGATCTCTTACTTCCCGGGTGAAGATTTCTACTGAACCTTCCTTGCCCTCATTTTATTCTCTGACTGTATCTCTGGAAGCAGAAGATTGTGCAAACACCCAGAGGCACACAATCTCGTCTTTCTTTTTGTTCCAATTTACATTCATTGGTTTTCCTTAAAAAACCTTCGCTACTAATCCCTTTAAGGGATGAATCAAGGCGAACACCGGGATGCTGGATATCTTCTAGAACTTTTTTCATTACTTAATCACAAAGACGTCTGGATTTTTACTTCCGCTTTTCGTTTGTTGACTAATTTAAATGCTACGTACGTGGAAAGGGCCTTCGGATCAAGGCAATCCGTTCTTTTGATGTCGCTATCAAAATAATTTCCTGACTTATATGGACGTGTAAGGATAAAACTTACATTTTGGCAATTTACGTGGGTGTGACAGACGTGCTTTTGGTACACACAAATAAACTGATATTATATTTGGTTTGACAAGGTAAGGGAACAAGCTGTTTACGGATTAAAGTGTCGGCTTTATATTATTGTCTTTCACTTACATCATCTTAATTCCACAAGTCAATTGTTATTGATTACGTTTGCTGTATTGCAATTTGAAGTACTTGGTTTACAGTGGAAATCGGGCAGTGGCGGATATTATGGCACTCTAGAGCAGTGGTATTCAACCTTTTTTGTTCGCGTACCCCCAGATATAATTTCTCTTCCAACTTTGTACCCCCAAA